TTTGCAGCATATTAACTTGCTAATAAAGAGTAAAGAATGAATGCCTCTGAATAACAATGATATCATTTATTCAGTTTTTACTTTACATCAAATATCGTGTTAAGAACTTTAAGCATCTATCCCAAACCTTATAACAACCCTGATATATCAAAATTCATCGTTAATTCAAAAATTAATGATTTCCACCTATGGAGGTGAGAGATATCAAAGGTAAGTATATGTTTCTTGGATAATGACAGAATAAGAAAATAAAAGCAGCAAACTCACTAAGTTCCAGGTAACTTTCCTGGCATTTCTATTGCGCACCTCCCTTTGCAACCTAGATTCTATATATCCTTTGTGGTACAAGTCAGATTCAAATTTTCCTTAAGCAATCTACTTCAACAACATTTAAGTGTGAACTTTCTCTTTTTTGATCTCCTGGAATTTAGATTTAGAACCATTCAATATGACCTAGAGTATACAACATTTGGGGTAAAAAAAAAAAAAAGGCCTTATATCTAATAGGGTTGAAGATATTTAGGTGCTAAATAATTCTGGGCAAATGATGACATCTAACCATTTCACATTTTTCATGTTATAAAAATTTTCCATTATATGACTTGAAAATTCTTATTTTAGGCTTACTTGTAATTATGCTCCATTTAATTCAGCAATGTAATTAATTTGTTTCTAATAGATAACGATTCTCTGTGGTTTTCAGCTAAGTAATGTTTCTCTTGACATCTCTCTCTCCAGTGATCCAGGTTAATGGAAATTCAAGAATACATAAAACTATTTTTATGAAGCTTTTAATATCCCTCCCTTTTCCCTCCCTACACCTATCAGTTCTCTTTAGTGCTCCGCAATGATTTGGACTGACATATCCATATATGCATAATGTGTATTTGGGGAAAGATGTGGTATTAAAAATATTCAGCTGTTGGTATGTCTTTATTTTTGTATTGTTGTTAGATGCATGTGATAGAATTCTTGAGAGAATAAAGATTCTAATGCTTTCCTTTATGCTTAATTACCCTGATAATTTTAGAAAACTATCTGTGTGAGTTATACATCTTGAATTGATTGATTTACCAGCAAAGATATAATTTAGATTTATTCTATTGAAAGGAACATACTTTTAAAAACTGCCAAATATATTATTTTGAATGTGAATCCTCTCCTCAGTGGTAACATTCCAAATAGTAACCTTGTCATAGGGTTTATGTATCTTCACAAATTTTGTGTTAAAACTAAAAATCATAGTAGAAGAACTTTGTAAGATTAAGTATTTCAACAGTAAAGTATATTACATTTTCCCTTATTTTGCACTGATAAATCTCTAGGTAAGTTAAACACAAGAGATAAATTAGTTCTAAGATCAGGAAGATATGGTTATGTGATACACAATGGCTTCATTGATTGCAGGTAGTTCTCTCTCTCTCTCTTTTTTTTTTTAAGAAACACTAATTAAGCAATCCAATATTTTCTTGATTTTTACATTGAGAAATATGCCATTACAGAGGTTTCAATACTAAGCTTATGGGACAAAAATTAAATATCTTAGTGTAATGTGCAGTTATTTCTATACTGTTTTCAGTTCTTATGTTCTATTTGAAGAATAAAAATCTAAAACCAACAAATACAGTATAATTATCTTGATTATGACAGTAAAAGTTTATCATGACTCACGTTTCTTTGAAATGCATACAAATATGTTCTAGAATATGTATATATATATATACACACACAAACATACACAATTATTTTATGGGTATATTCATATACCCGTATGTATTTTTGAATATATATTTTCAAACACATAGTCTTTTATGGGTGTATCTGTATACCCATAAATAAAACTTCATTGAAATTACATTGTGTAATGAAGATGCTCAGTAATTTCTGAAACACAACACTTTTAGAGCACACATTTTATAATTAGAACTGTCACAAATCCACAAAGTGAACAGATATTAGTTTAATCTATTATCCATTTGCTAGTGTACGATAGTAATGATTCATATATTACTTTAATGTCAAATTCTTGATTAAAGTAGAATGCATAATTCAATTTTCTATTGTAACTTCCTTGGAGGAAAACTTGGAAAAAAGCCAAGGATTCTTGAATGTGTCTGAGCCATTTGGAAGATAATTCAGGGAGAGAGAATACTGGAAATTACCTAAGTGAAATTTAGTTAATTTGTTCTTCTATTAAGCAGATTTGAAATAGTATCCGGAAGGGCTATTTATTGTAAAGTACTCACCAATTCTGTAACAGTGATTAAAGAAAAGAAAAAAAATGCTTTCATTCTGCCCAGTGCTAATTTTGTATGTTAAGGGCACAGCTCTTAGAGGGTTGGTAACATTTAATCTAGTGAGATATGTGAAATTTAAAAAAAAAAATTATTTTCAACAGGATCAACTGGGAATTTTTTTAGCTTTTGAACTTCTTTTAAGTGGTTTGGTTTTAATCCTTTAAAAATATTTTTAATAAATGCTATCAGAGAGTGAACATACATATAATAGAGTACTTCTTGTTGCCGGTATGCTTTTGAGAACACTACACAAATAATCTTCCACTATGAAGTTGGGAGGGGAGCAGACTGCAGAACTTTTTGTTCTAGTTAAGTGATACTGAAAATAACACTGACAAGGTCTCTGAGCAAGTGGGGATTTTTAGTTCAAACAGAGGCGATTAGACAAAGATGGAGCACGGTATCCTAGGCAAGATACAAATCTTTAAAGATGCGTGTATAGGAAGGAAAACCCGTTTGATTTTTAAAGCAGATATCAAGATGGGTGCTTTTCTTTTTTAACTTGCAAAAATCTCTTGAAAAGTCGGAGCAAAACTGTTACTTTCTCGCATATAAATACTGCACGATACCGAGTATTTTCTTCATTCAGCCTCCCACCCCAGGAATGAAGGGTACGGGGTTAAGATGCCACAAGTGAATTAAACGAACCATCGGCTTGGTAGAAAGCATTAAAAAAAAAAAAGCAAACCCAAAACAAAAACACGAGGATTTAAGCACAGATCTTTCGAGGCCTGCGTGCATCGACCAAACGCCTGAGTAAACCCTTGGGCTCTGCAGCGTGGATCCCCGGTATCTGTGGACCTGGAAAGCAGGAACAGATAGGGTGCCTCGCGCCCTTAGGGGGAGTGGGCTCTCTTCTCAAGGAGCGAGCCAACGGGGAAGCACTTGGTCGTTCGGCGCGTGCGTCACGGCCCGGGACAGGCAACAAGTCCAATGTACAGTGGGCGCAGAGACGCGGCGAGGAGCCGCTGACTGGGGTTCGACTCAACCTGTCCTCTCCAGGAGCGCTCGCCCGCTCCCGACCGCCGGCCCAGGTTCCGGGCCCTAGAGGGGCGCAGGCCCGGGGGGTGCTTGGGCTGGGCCCCAGGTGAAGGGCGTCCGCACTGCTCCTGCGGCAGTCGTGGCTCTCTTGTCTCCACAAGTCGCGGGAGCAGCCCGGCCCCGCGCCGAAGCTGCAGCTGTGACTGACGGAGTCACTGCCCCGCGCTCCCGAGCCGCCCCCTCCTCCCCCGCCACCCCCTCCCTCCCCGCACCGACACGTCATGGAAATACGGACGTCAGAACCTTCCAGCCAATCGCAGGCACCGACAGGAGGGAAGGGGCGAGCTGGAGGGGCGGGGGCAGCAACGAGCCGAAGCGCTCGGGGAAGGAAGAGAGGGAGGGGCGCGCGGAGGCGCGAGTCCCCGGGCTCCTCACTCTGGCCACCCTTTCCCCACCGCGCGGCAAGTTCTAAACGCCGGGCGCGCGCTCGTCTGCCGGGGACGCGCTCGCCGGGTCCTCCCCTTAAACGCCCTCTCGTTGCCGCTGGGCTCCCAGTCCCCGTCCGAGCGGCGCTTCCTCCGCGCGCGCGCGCGCCCGCCCGCCCTCAGGTTCCCCGCGGGCCGCGTCACGTGATCGCGCCCAGCCAAGGCGGCAGCGGCGCGAGCTTCGGCAGCGGTGGCAGTGGCAGTGGGAGCAGCTGCGCCGCCAGCGTGGAGCGGGAGGCGTGTGGGTGTGGAGAGAAGGGAGCGCCAGACCGGAACGGGTGAGCGTCCTCCTCCCTCTGCCTACTCCCGGCAATCTTGCGGGCCACCCGATGCAAGCGGCCCCTGCCCGGAGCTGCGCACAGCCTCCTCGTGCTTGGCCATCCTCTTTCTGGTGCCCGCGGGCCCCGCCCCGAACGGGCTGGGCTGCGGTGCTCACTGAGGGGGCTGCACCCCGCCCGCCGCTGCCGTTGCGGACGGCAGCGTGAGGCCGGCAAAGCAGCCCGTGCCGAGCGCGGCGCGCCCAGTGTGCGGCTCTGCGGAGCTGAGGAGGCGGGTCCTGCGGGAACGCGGGCGGCCACTCGGCGGCTGCCGGGCTCTGGGCGGGGGCCGGCCGGGCGCCGCCTCCTCCTCCTTCACCGCCGCCGCCGCCTCCTCGCAGTGCAGCGTGAGTAGGGAGCCCCGGCTGGTGGACGCCGAGCCTTTCAGCTCCACGGCCGCCTCATCCGAGAGGTGCAGCTGCACCTCCGCGTGGCGCCCTAAGTCCTACGAGCCGTCTGCGGACGCGCGGAGGACCGAGCCCCTGTTCTCTGCGCTTCCCGCTGCCCCTCGCTACCCCCCCCCCCCGACCCTTCTGCAGCCTCCCTTTCCTTTCCCCCTCGGAAAATGGTTCCCGCTGCCGCGCGAGGTGAGTGGCGGCCGCCGCCCGCCCGCGGTGGGGGTGGTCACCTGCGGGGGAGGCCGGGCGGAATCGGGAGGTGGTGGCTTCGCTGCTGGGGTCCTGACAGCTGGCTGCCGGGTGGACTGCGGGGCGTTCGAGAGAAGTTGGCTGGGGCAGGCTGGGGGCCTCACAGGTTGTCTCCTGCTGGGGAATCTTAAAGGTGAGCGTGTTCTCGCCGCGCGCCTCAGCGCTTGGTCCAGCCTGAAGTCGCCGCCCCGGACTCGAGGGACAGTGCTCAGTGTGCCTCCTTGTCTACGCCCGCGGCTCTTTGACTTCACCGAACCGCCTTGGCCGCGCCGCAGCCCATCCCAACACGGGTCGCCCCCGCCCCGGCGCGTGGTGACCTTGAGGGCAGCGGTGCCGGGCGCTCCCTATCCCTGCGCCCGGGGAGGGTCACCCCTTTAATCCCCTGCTTCAGCCCCCCAGACGCACTGCGGACGGGGAGCCGAGGGGCCCTCAACGGCCTCCGGCGGGGCTGGTTGATGGATGCATGTCAGACAGGACAGTGACTCCGGAGGAGTTAGAGGGCCGCCTCGCCTTTCTTCTCCTGTCTTGCGTCTGGCCCCCGCAGGATATTCACGGTTGCTTCCGATTCGTGTTTGTGGACTTAGTTTAAAAGAAAAAAAAATCTTCTCCTCCCCTCTTTGGAAAGGATCAGTAAGGAAGAGGACGACATTTCAGTTGCGGGGGTGGTGGTGGGGTGTGCTCCCTTTATTCCATCCTGCAGGAGAATCACATAGCTAAGCTAGTTAGCGACCCCTGGGTCTGCGCCTCGGTCACTGGCCAGTCGGTCTCTGTGCGCATTTCATTGACCAGTTTTCTGCGGGACTCGCAGCGTTGGGAGTGCACTCATCCAGTGCGTGTAGCATTGCTTGGCGCCCTGGCGAAGAGGGCAGGTCTTGGTCACAGCTGAGGGAGTCTGCAAAAACCTAGAGGGCTGGACCCTCCTCGGTACGCTGATTTTTGCCTATCCCCTAGGTTAGAGCGCTGCGGACAGCCACCTTTGGCTGCTTATGCACGCTACTTTTCTGGATGTATTAATAATCTAATGGTTTCTGTTGGTGTTGATTGCTGTTCTGATAAATTAGTTACATGAATTTCTTCATACGTGTCTAGTTATGTGCATATGTCTTGGGGCTGTCTGCCTTTCAACATGGAAGCCTTTGTTGTGCTTAACCTCCTCCACCTGAGGACAGTCTTACTTTAAAATAAGGCTCTTGTTCAGCGTGGGTGTATTTTATAATAAGAAGTACTTGTAAGGGCCTGGTTTGTATGAAGCTCTCTTCGGGCATCCCTTTGGATGGTGGCCCACGTGAGTGAATGGAGGGCCTTCCCTTTCCCTGCCACTAGCCTTCCCAGGGGAGACTCCCTGTCCTTGTGTGTGGCCAGAGGCGGATTGGGGGGAATTAAGAGGGATTGGAGGAGAATCTGCTTTTTGTACTTGTGTTCCCCTTCCCCTATCTCCCCCCTTTCTGGTGAGTTCAAATTTGAAGTAAATAGAGACATTTTTTCTTATCGGGAACCTTTGAAGGCTAATATGAAATGGGCTTTTTAAAGCCATGATTTCAGGGGGACGTTTTAGTTTCTACCTTGCTTTGGTAAGGCAGTTAAATTGCTGTAATTAAGGGTGGATCTCTGTCCTGATTTTGGCTTGGGTGTAACTGCAAAGATCTTCGAAAAGTAACTGTTATTTCCTACCATATAGTCTGCAAAAGTGAGTCACATTCGGGTGAGTTGAGGACAGAGCGCCACCTTTAATTTTAAATTTCTTGATTTACTTTTATTCAAATGGTAAAAATTCAGAGTACGCCTTCTTGATTTTTATCATAGTTGTCATCTCTGACATCTCCATTTAAACATTATAAGGGGAAATTGTCTTCTGTAATTTCTTAAGTCTTTTGGAAGGAATTTCTTCAATTGTATAGAAATTATAATTTTTTAATTGAAGCTTGTGATCTAATATAGCATTCTAAGATGAGGTGACAAACTGATTTTGATTTATGATTGTGATAAAGTAATCGTCGTATTGGTAGTCTGGATCTGCTTAGGAATTAGAAGAAAAGTAATAGATGCATGTAAATAGATGTTTAAAGGTAGCTATTCCACTACCAGCATTATAGTGGTTTTACAGTATTTTTGAGCTGCTGAATATTAACAGTTTCTTAAACAAACATGCAAAATCAGTGAAATTATTAACCTTGCTTGCATAAGGTGTAGTAATTTTTTGTTATCTTCCATCTACTTGACTTTTATGGGTTTACTCAATTACTTGTTTTAAAGTAATACAAATGAGCACTTCTAGGAGGAGTACTTAATATTCAGTTTAATAAAGACCATGTTGGAAAAAGTGGTTTCTATATATGGCTTCTCTCAAGTTCAGAGCATATAAAAATAAATGGAATTTTTCATGTTTAGAAAACAGATGCTGTAGTGACAGCTGAATTGTTGTGATTCCCCTGCCTACTTGCTCCTTCCCTTTCTTACTCCTTCCCAGATCAAAAATGTACAGGTACACTCTCGCTTTAGGCACAACATACTTTTCAATTATTGTACTACAGCTGTAACATGAGGAAAAAAAAGGCTTAGCTCTCAAATAATGAATGAATTGACATGTGTATAATATCTAATGTAATCTTAATTACAAACCACAAGATATTATTACCATTCTGTCTTCCTTCAAATTTTAATTCAACACTTGTGATTTCTTCATAGACTACTATAAAGCATCAGCTGTTGATTGTAGGTAGATCTTTATTAAACAAAAACTAAGCCAAAAGTCTGTTTGAGATGAAAGATGGTTTATGCTCTTAGTATTACATGGTCTCTTTCAAGTGGAGGATTATGGCCCCAGGTAAAAGGACATTATTTAAGCTCTTGGGTTAATGCAGAGAAATTATACATTGTTACATATACTTTGATAGAATCCTTTATTTGGGGGGATTAAGTTTACTAATTTCCTTTGACAAACGTGTTAACTTCATTTTGGATTAAACTGTTATGTTAAAATGAGTTTTAAAAGGAATGGTCACCCAAAACTTTTGCGATATTGAACAACAACAAAAAGAGCATTTGCTGTTTTTTGGTTTTATTTTGTATGTGTCTACACAGTTAAAACTTATATTTTCACTTTTGAGTTTTGAAATTTTGTAATTAATGAAAAAAGCAATAAAAGGAATAAAGATTGACAAACTTAAGATTTAAATTTTGCATATTGGGTAAAAATTTTTATTGGATTCATTGAGAAAAAAATATTTTCTAGTAGGTGTCTAATAGAAAGGAACTAGTAGCTTATTGGAGAATTTTTTTTATAGAGTCTGAGATGTCATTACAAGAAAAATTATATACAATAGTTTATAGGAATAATTTCAAAGAGAATTTTTTTAGCTTTTAGAAAGCTAAGACACAGTTATTAACAATTTTTATTATAGAAATGTCAAATGTGAGAAAGTAGACTGGCAAACTAACCATTTTTGACATCCTCATGGCTTGTCTAATTCCACTTGTATCTTCGTATAAGAAATGGATTTGTTATAAATGGGCATATAGGATAGAAAATGGACTTGAATTTTAATGTTTTATTATTTACCATTTACAGAATATAATGAATAGTGTTCAATATTTAATTGAATGTGAAAGATTCAGTTTTGTGTTCTGTATTGTTTAAATTTTTTTCTGATAGTCTGTTTTAAATCAGGTGCCTACAGATAGCATTTCTCAAATTTTGTGTCTGAATACTTTATGGTAATGATTTATGGAGTGCTTTACAGTTTTTGAGAATGTATTTGCATACTATCTCATTTGATTCTCACAATAAATAATCCTGTGAGATAAGTAAGATAGATAGTTGTACACCCCCACACCAGTTAAAAGGATTTAGCAGGTCCTTAAGATCATTTACCTAGCAGCTAGATTAGCAAGAAATGAACTCTAGGTGGCTTCTAGTTTTTTTACTCATTACTCTTCCCACTATACATGTTTATATAAGTTTATGAAAGTTATGTAACTTTATGAAAAATCAGTTTCTGATTATAATAAACTCAATAGTGGAATATAAATAGATTGGGTTTATTTTTATAATCTAATCATTACTTATATTTGGCGTGATGCAAACATTTCATACCCTGATTTACTAATAGCTGAGTAAATTAATTTGAACATATTTAAAATACTGTATTTTTAATTTTTTTTAAGTTAAGAATTTCATTTTCAAACACCTGTTGGTCTTTGAAATAAGTAGTAGAGATGTCTTAAATCTTAAGTTAAAAATAAAATGTTCTATACTAAAAATTTCTTCTTTTAATTCCGACTGTAATTTTTTATGCACTTGTTTTTCTGCCACGTTTATTACCTAAATCTTTTTGAAATATTAATCTGTTATGTAATGAAATGTAAAAGTTTTAAAAGATCCCCAAAGAGATTTTAGTTCTTGTAATTCAAAACTTTTGTTATAAATGTGACAGGGAAGGTAATGGTTCTTTAGCCTTAGTGTGGACAGGAAAACATTGCCCCTGCAATTCTGATTCAGCAGGTCTGGGGAGGGGCCCAGAAGTCTGCATTTTGAGAAATAAACTGAATTTATAAGTAAGTTAGAATTACATAGTGGAGATGCCATTATTAAATCAGGAGGACATTATGGGTTTATTTTAGCATAATTAGAGCTTCCAAGCAGTTGTGCCTGTTTTAGCAAAGTTTGATTTATTTATTTGAATGTTTTTTGTGACAATCATAAAAGTGATAAATTGAAAATATTTCTGTTATCTGTGTGTGCAGTCTTTCAGAAGATCTGTGTAGTTATTTATTAAGCACTGTAAGCTTTTATAGAGGTTTTTTTTTTCATGTCTTAATATTTACTGTCTCCAAAAGACCAATGCACAGTGTATCATCACAAAACTATATTTAGGCTTTAGTCTAGTTTTATTTATTTATTTTTTTGTTAGAGGGAAAGTCCTTCAAACCAAATGGACATAAGTCAGTGGATAGATAGTCATCCTTTTTTAATATCAGTGAAAAAGCAGTTACTCCTTCAAAAACAACAGGTTGATGCTGAATGACCTTTCAAGAGCATTAATGATAATAGACTAATTGATAGTTTACTATTCTGTGTATCAAAACAAAATTTAGTGCTGTTTCACGTAAAATCTTAATAGTTTTTGTAGTTCATTAATCTCTTATAAGGTTTATTTGATCTTTGTAGTTCATTTGATACTAATACTGTATCTCACTTATAGATTAACTGACATTAGTAATAATCCTATATAAGACCATTTTTAAGATGCAGTTGTTTTTACTTCACATATTACAATATAGTAAATAGCCTATACCTGTATTTAAAATATATTTTAAAATTAATTTCAAAGTAGGTCCATCTCAAGAAACTGAACCTATTTTTTGTCTATCCAAAAAATTTAAGCTTGATGGCTACACCTTACAGATTGTTAGGAATTATGGGTTATAATTTACTAATGATTGTGGAAATATAAATAAAGGTTTTTGCCAGAGACATTATGGGGAAACTCCCCCTCCCCCTTTAATGGTGCTTGGGGTTGAACCCAGGGCCTTGTGCATTGAGGCAATCATTCTATCAACTGAGCAATATCCCCTGTGCCCCTATATTCTCTTATAGCAATTTTCTTTTAATTTTTCCTAGGACAGTGTCAACTCTGCTAAATAGCATGTGGTGTTTTTAGTTACCTGTTTGGTAAGAGTTTATGTGGTATTTATAAGTACAGTAAATTTCAGTAACATGGGTTCTTAAAATCTGGGATACCTGCTTTTTAAATTACTGTCACCTGGGCCTTTAGAGAAAGAATATAGTTTTTGAATGGACCAATGCTTGCTTACACTATGAAATATGAGATTATACTGTCTAACTGTAAACTGGTAAGACTACTGTACAAACTCAATAAATTCAAGAGTAAAGTTTGTGTTTGTTTTTTTCTGAAAAGTAAATT